CAGATAATCTGGGATTAAAGCAGCATCTGGTACATCACATAATATGGGATTAAAGCTGCCTCTAGTACATCAGATAATCTGGGATTAAAGCTGCATCTGGTACATCACATAATCTGGGATTAAAGATGCATCTGGTACATCAGATAATCTAGGATTAAAGATGCATATGGAACATCAGATAATCTGGTTTTTAAATGGCATCTGGTACATCACATAATCTGGGATTAAAGATGCATCTGGTACATCAGATAATCTGGGTTTAAAGCTGCATCTGGTACATCAAATAATTTGGGATTAAAGATGGTACATCAAATAATCTGGGATTAAAGATGGTACATCAAATAATCTGGGATTAAAGATGGTACATCAAATAATCTGGGATTAAAGATGGTACATCAGATAGCAGTAGGGCCCTCTTAGTTTGTCTGTGTCCGCAATGGCAGTTCTGGTCTAAAGAAGTGCATTATATACATAGCCCCAGGAAGTATACATTATATACACAGCCCCAGGAAGTATACATTATATACACAGCCCCAGGAAGTATACATTATATACACAGCCCCAGGAAGTATACATTATATACACAGCCCCAGGAAGTATACATTATATACACAGCCCCAGGAAGTATACATTATATACACAGCCCCAGGAAGTATACATTATATACACAGCCCCAGGAAGTATGCATTATATACATAGTCCCAGGAAGTATACATTATATACACAGCCCCAGGAAGTATGCATTATATACACAGCCCCAGGAAGTATGCATTATATACACAGCCCCAGAAGTATGCATTATATACACAGCCCCAGAAGTATGCATTATATACACGCCCCAGGAAGTATGCATTATATACACAGCCCCAGGAAGTATGCATTATATACACAGCCCCAGGAAGTATGCATTATATACACAGCCCCAGGAAGTATACATTATATACACAGCCCCAGGAAGTATGCATTATATACACAGCCCCAGGAAGTATGCATTATATACACAGCCCCAGGAAGTATACATTATATACACAGCCCCAGGAAGTATGCATTATATACACAGCCCCAGGAAGTATGCATTATATACACAGCCCCAGGAAGTATGCATTATATACACAGCCCCAGGAAGGGGGGTGTTGAGGGGGCTGCAGCACCTCCTGAAAAATCTGAATTTAAAAAATATGTTAATAAAAATTTATATTATTTTTTTGCTAAAAATATTTGTTCACAAAACTAGTGCGCTGGGCAACCCAAAAAAATTCAGCATCTCCGCTTTGGCAAAAAAGGTAATTGTATAATTAAGAACAGTATCAAAAGTAGTGCACTAGGGAATAGGGTGCCAGATCCTGGGGAAAAGTAGTGCACTAGGGAATAGGGTGCCAGGTCCTGGTGAAAAGTAGTGCACTAGGGAATAGGGTGCCAGGTCCTGGTGAAAAGTAGTGCACTAGGGAATAGGGTGCCAGGTCCTGGTGAAAAGTAGTGCACTATATAAGGCCTGGGATATACTCTAACCTCTCTGCAGAAAACATTCCTTCCTTAAAAAAATGATCTGAACTAGCTGATGGGGGTAAGAAAAAATACTGCTTCTCTTCTTAGTTCTCACATACTGTATATAATCAAGGTCCTTAGATGGAAATGATCATTGTTGTAGAACGCCTCCAGGATATTACTGCAAGAAATGAACGATGCGTCCCAAATGGGACCCTATTCCCTGCTTATACAGTACACTACTTTGGACAAGGGCCCATTGGGAATAGGGGGGTATTTTGGCCGCAGCCTAAATTCTGTGGGGGGTTTAATACTCCTCTGAACAGCAGGAAAGACGACTCATATGTCTCTATTGTCTCGGTGAAGAAGTCTAATGTACACAAAGAAAGCCTTGCAGAATTGTTCATGCCTACAGTGTGTGTGTGTGTGTGTTTGTGTGTGTGTGGTGTGTGCGCCTGCAGTACATTTATTCATTAAAAGCAAGCTCAGCTCTCTTATCCTAACTAATGAAGCACATAAATATACCCTTCACTGCTGGGGAATACTGTAAGATAGATATGAGATCCTCCCTGGCTAGTTATGTACATTTACAATTCCTCATGACATTGTCTGAAATGGCACCCTATTCCCTACATAGTGCCTTACCCTTTTGGGCCCTGTCAAAGTAGTGCACTATGTATCCCTGTTGAATAAAAAGAGAGATGAAGAGACAGAGAAAGCAGATGACAAAGATGAAGAGAGGGGCGCGAGAGTCTTCTCCTCTATTCATCGCTGTTTTGCTCAATCTCCGTCTCCTCCTTCTCTCTCTCTCTCTCTCTCTTCTCTCTCCCCTCGTTTTCCCTCTCCTCTTCGTCTTCTTCCTCCTTCTTCTCCTTCTCTTCTCTTCTCGTTCTCCATCCTCCTCTACTCTCTCTCTCTCGCGATCTCGGCTCTCGCGCTCCTTTTTTTTTTGCCTCCCGGCCCGCCGGCGTGTCCTGCATGGCGGCCGTGTTTCTTTGCGTTCCTGGTTCGCCCCCCGGCCGCCTTGCCCTCACTAGAAAGAGGTCTTTTTTCTAAACTGTATAAAGACCAGCATGAATGAATGGAAGGATGGATCAGAAAAGAGTGAAAGAGGCTAAGCAACCTCTCCTCTCCTCCTCCCCAGTGTCTCTTCTTCCAAGGATGGTGCATGATCCTTCTCCCTCTGTCTCTGTTGTGCTTCCTGCAGCACAAACATCTGATTCAAGCTTTCTGTGAACAAGTCATCTTGCCAACACAATGACAGTGTGAGTGGGCCCACAGCCAAGGCCCCGCCCCCTGGCCATAAAGACAGGGGGAGGGGCCATCAAATATGGAAACACATACAAACAGAAAACCCCTCTACTATGGAGTAATAACCACAATATCCAGCAATGAGCACTGGGATTTTATTAAAGGTCCTGAATTAATACATATGCATGCCACGACAAATCATGTATTCTCTTCCAACATAACGGATAGACTCAAAATGATACTGCAAGTGACGGGTTTTTGAAAATCTGAATATACAGACTCTTGTGGTGCAACGAGTCAGATGCATGTTTGTTTATTCAATGTGTCAGTGTGTTTCTGTCCGTCCCTATCCAAATAATCCAGAAATGAATAAAATGTTATGAAGCATGGATGTTGTTTATGAGTATAATATATGATTCGTCGTGGCATGCAATTGTGTTTATGAGTATACACAACACTATTAAACCTAGAGGGCTGTGGGGAATACTACAAGCCGGCTAACTTTGATAAAACAACCAGAAATAACTATTGATTTTATGGTTCACTAACGCTGCATTTAGACGAGGGACGCCAAAAACCATCATACCAGTCGGCACAGCTGGACAAGAAAGCAAGAAACACGTTTGACTGCAAAAGCAAGCCAGCGCGACTGTATGCGTTGCTATGGTGATTTCAGTAAACAAACAGTGCAAATCAACATCCGGTAGAAAACAACGCTACGGCTGACGGCGAAGGTTGAAATATTTTAACTCTGGCTGCAAGTCCCGTCTACGGTGGTGGCTGACGGCATTCACCGTCGTGCTCTCATTGAAAACTATGACATCCGGTTTGCCATCTACCTCGTACCATCTAAACGCAGCATAAGAAAGCTAAATTTAGATAATGTGTTTTGGGTTGTTGATTCAGTTAGACCCATGTCCATTTCAAGGCAAGTTAGATGGCTAAGTCATTGACCTGTCTTGTTTCCAGTCCTGTGTGAGTGAGATTTTAGTGGGATAAAAGCAATGCTATAATAATGGTAATGCAACTAATGGTTAGACATGCCACAATGAATCACATATGCTCTTCAATCAAAACCTAATGCAAGATCAAATTAGATTTCGCTTCAGTATAAAACACACTATGAATCCGGCCCAGATCTCCGCATCAGCAGTCTGGTTCTCCAGGAGCTTTTAGCAGTGGGATGATGTCATTGAACTAATGGGCATAATGTTACTTGTCACAACCAATCAAATATGCCCCCATCACCTCAGTAGCAGAGGCCGTCTGTGAGGTTGTAGTAGGATGCTGTGGTGCAGGGCATCAGATTATTCTTTACTCAATGTGTTTGGATCTGTCCCTAACCAAATAAACCAGAAATGAATCAAACATTTATTTAGTAGTGGACTTGTTTTCCCCACTCTTACGTGAGTGAGGTTGTAGTAGGGTGCTGCTGGAATAAGATCTGCTCCACAGCTCCGGTTCCCCCCCCCCCCCCCCTCCTGAGTCCTGAAGCCCCTGATACTAGGAAATGAGACCCTCATCACCGCCCTGCCAAGGATGTAGACCAAGGAAGAGTCTCCCGACCCGAGTCCGATGAGCCGGACTCTCCGTCCCTTCCTCTCCACTCCCCGCTCCTCGCGCCTCTCCGCCCTGACTCCTCCTCCGCTCACCCTCACTCCTCTCTCGCGACCGTTCCTCGCTCTCCAGTCACTCTCTCCGTCTCCACCGCTCTATCCAGTCTCCGATCTAACCCTCTCCTCTCCGCTCCCTCGCCTCTCCTCTCCTCACTCCTCACTCTCGATCCTCTCCTCTCCTCTCCTCTCCTCTCTCCTCTCCTCTCGTCTCCTCTCCTCTCTCTCCTCCCCTCCCCCACTCCCATTCCTCTCCTCTCCTCTCATCTCCTCTCCTCTCCTCAGCTGCAGCCCCTCATCACTCACTGTAAGGCGGACTGTTACTTCCATCAGCTGCATTTGGGTTTGAGCTAGTCAGCAAGTTTCCCTTTCGCTCTCTCTTGTGCAATGTATATACACAACACACACACCACACACACACACACACACACACACACACACACACACACACACACACAGTGTGGTAAAGTCAGATACAGTGTAAGAAGCCAGAGGCCATCAGCTGTGTTCTTAGTCTCCAGAGAGAGAGACACAGTGACGTGACAGTGGCCTCTGTGAACCTGAAACGGAGGTGTTTCTGCGAGCGTGCACATGTCCTGTGTGTGTGTGTGTAATTGATTGCTCATAAAGACATAACAAGTTTGCGGTAAGTCACTCTGAGTCTCTCCCTTCTGTGAGGACAGACAGACGGACAGCCTTTATGCTCTCAGCCTGGCTCTGGACAGACAGACGGACAGCCTTTATGCTCTCAGCCTGGCTCTGGACAGACAGACGGACAGCCTTTATGCTCTCAGCCTGGCTCTGGACAGACAGACGGACAGCCTTTATGCTCTCAGCCTGGCTCTGACAGCCTTTATGCTCTCAGCCTGGCTCTGGACAGACAGACGGACAGCCTTTATGCTCTCAGCCTGGCTCTGAACCAAGGATGGCCATGAACCTGAACCTGGCTGAGGTTCCAATGTCTCAGTGAGGCAGAGTGACTGTAGTTCCAATGCCTCAGGGCGGCAGAGTGACTGTGGTTCCAATGTCTCAGTGAGGCAGAGTGACTGTAGTTACAATGCCTCAGGGCGGCAGAGTGACTGTGGTTCCAATGTCTCAGTGAGGCAGAGTGACTGTAGTTACAATGCCTCAGTGCGGCAGAGTGACTGTGGTTCCAATGCCTCAGTGCGGCAGAGTGACTGTGGTTCCAATGTCTCAGTGAGGCAGAGTGACTGTAGTTCCAATGCCTCAGTGTGGCAGAGTGACTGTGGTTCCAATGCCTCAGTGAGGCAGAGTGACTGAGGTTCCATGGTCTCAGTGAGGCAGAGTGTACTGTTGGTTCCAATGTCTCAGTGAGGCAGAGTGACTGTGGTTCCAATGTCTCAGTGAGGCAGAGTGACTGAGGTTCCAATGTCTCAGTGAGGCAGAGTGACTGTGGTTCCAATGTCTCAGTGAGGCAGAGTGACTGTGGTTCCAATGTCTCAGTGAGGCAGAGTGACTGTGGTTCCAATGTCTCAGTGAGGCAGAGTGACTGTGGTTCCAATGTCTCAGTGCGGCAGAGTGACTGTGGTTCCAATGCCTCAGTGCGGCAGAGTGACTGTGGTTCCAATGTCTCAGTGAGGCAGAGTGACTGAGGTTCCAATGTCTCAGTGAGGCAGAGTGACTGAGGTTCCAATGTCTCAGTGAGGCAGAGTGACTGAGGTTCCAATGTCTCAGTGAGGCAGAGTGACTGAGGTTCCAATGTCTCAGTGAGGCAGAGTGACTGAGGTTCCAATGTCTCAGTGAGGCAGAGTGACTGAGGTTCCAATGTCTCAGTGAGGCAGAGTGACTGAGGTTCCAATGTCTCAGTGAGGCAGAGTGACTGAGGTTCCAATGTCTCAGTGAGGCAGAGTGACTGTGGTTCCAATGCCTCAGTGAGGCAGAGTGACTGTGGTTCCAATGTCTCAGTGAGGCAGAGTGACTGTGGTTCCAATGCCTCAGTGCGGCAGAGTGACTGTGGTTCCAATGTCTCAGTGCGGCAGAGTGACTGTTAGTTCAATTCCAGCATGGGCCATATGCACTGAATGTGTCACTACCAATGCTGACAGTTCAGTAAATCACTCTGGATATTAAACATATCATTACTTAGGGGCAACATGTAGCTAGCTCATATAAACATGTACATTGGTCCATATACAAAAAAATGTATGCACTGACTCATTGTGCTGTAAGTCACTTTGGATAGGAGCGTCTGCTAAATTACCATATAATTAGTTAGGGCTATGTGACTAGCTCATATAAATATGGACATGGCATGTGGTGTCATATTGAATCTGTAAATGTTGCAAGTTCCGACTGTTTGAATAAAAGCGTCTGCTAAATTACCATATGATTATTTAAGGGCTTGATGTAATAGGAATGGTCCATGTCACGTAGGGTCTTCACTTACGTTGGAGTCCAGCAGGTCGATGCTGTCCAGGCTCTTGCTCCTGTGGATGCGTCCCTTGATCCTGCGTAGTGAAGGCTTGGCCTGATGTATGGTGCTCACAGAGGACGATGCAGAGATCGAGCCGCTCCCGTGTCCGTGTCCGTGACCGTGGCCTTGGCCTTGGCCTTGACCTTGGCCTTGACCCCGGCTGGCTCTGCCGTGTGGGAGGTTGCCGGGGTGGAGGAGGCTGGGGTGAATCCTGAGGGTCAGACGAAAAACATCACATCAGGATCATCGTACTGAACACACTCGGAGAATAGAAGAGAATAGACTAGAAATGGTCCCTGAAGGGCAAAACTACAAACAATTAACAGACATGTGCCTCTTGTGTTAGTGTATGAACCATAGTGTTAGCAGTACTGTGTGTTAGTGAATGAACCATAGTGTTAATAGTACTGTGTGTTAGTGAATGAACCATAGTGTTAATAGTACTGTGTGTTAGTGAATGAACCATAGTGTTAGCAGGCCAGACAGACAGACAGACAGTGAATAGAGAAGGCCACGATGGTCATGCTTCGTATTTGTTTCTATAAAGGCCACAGTTCCCTGTTGAATTACGTGGCATTTAAAGCAGCTGTGTATAATATGATTTCTTTGGATTGAATGCCACCAAGTCCCTGTAGGAGAGGCACTTCTGGCTGTTTTAAACCTGGAGCTGACGTGTGTGGCCCAGAGACAGGCCCTGTAGTAAGGAGAGACAGTTATCACTTACTTAGTAACTCTATAGCTACACCAGGTAATACTCTGAGTGAGAAAACTACCAGAAATAATTTTTTCAATGAAAGGAGCAGGCACGAGGAGAGTTAACTGTTGGCGACCAGAGACCAGGCAACCACGGTTTAACTTTTGGCGACCAGAGATCAGGCAACCACAGTTTAACTTTTGGCGACCAGAGATCAGGCAACCACAGTTTCGTCAAAGCTGAACTTTATACCAGCCAGGCCCTGCAGCAGAGACGGACCGTTATCAGACCGTTATCAGACCGTTATACTTCACTCTGTAACGTATGGTTACAGAAGGTACTACTTCTAGTGATCAAAACAGAAATATGTCCCTCCCATAGGATAGTAGGACAGGAAGGAGGAGAGAGAGAAAGTGCTAGAGCAGGGGAATTGAACCCATGTAGTACTGATGATCTACAGGCAGCGGGTTAGACTGTCTTGACAGAACATGCTTAGCCAGGATTTACTCCCAAACGATATTCAAAAAGGAAAATCCCCCTCCCTTAGTAGAGAGAGAGAGGGAGAGAAAGGAGGGAGAGAGGAGGGAGAGAAGAGAGAGAGAGGCGGGAGAGAGGAGGGAAAGAGGAGAGAGAGAGGTGAGGGAGAGAGGGAGAGAGGAGAGAGGAGAGGGAGAGAGGAGAGAGAGAGGAGAGGGAGAGAGAGAGAGAGGAGAGGAGAGGAGGGAAAGAGGAGAGAGAGGTGAGAGAGAGAGGAGAGAGGAGAGGGAGAGAGGGGGGGAGAGAGGAGAGGGAGAGAGGGGGGAGAGGGAGAGAGGAGAGAGAGATCTATTTCCATTTTAAGTGGCTGACTCTATGATACTCCAGAGGGTTTTGTGGCTAAATGTGTAAAAAGTGTTGAAAGAAAAAGAGAGGAATAACATATGAGGGGAAACAGACGGTGAAGCACGCAAAAAGAAAAATGCCCTTAGATGGATTTTCTGTGAGAAAATGTTTAACGCATGCATAATAACAGAACAACAGAGCTGAAAGGTCACTCCGGTCAGCGCTTTTTAGACAATCGCGACAAAGCCAAAGTGACTAAGACAAGTTAGCTGACAGGAAAGAGAGTCTCTGGATGCATCACAGACCCAAGGTAGTCTTGCACAGTCAGAGGCCATCTCTGCCTTCAGCCAGGAAGCCAGAGAGAGTAACTTGTAGCCAGTCTTTTGAGGTAAACAGTACATAGCTACAGTGGGAAGGCTAGGCAGTGTCTGCGTCCATAATGGCACCCTATTCCCTACATAGTGCACTACCTTTAACCAGAGCCTTGTGGGCCCTGGTCAAAGTAGTGGACTATAAAGGGAATAGCTCTGGTGAGAAGTAGTGCACTATATAGGGAATAGGGTGCCATTTGTGACGCGACCATCGTATTCTTCTTTTGAACTACATTGTTTAATAGAATACATATACAGGTGTTATGACGGAGATTATCCCACCACGCTAGGTGGAACGCTGATTCATCAAAACTGTGATTTTTCAGATGGCCGTTTCTTACACACACACACATACACACACACACACACATACACACACACACACACACACACACACACACACACACACACACACATTTGGCATAGAGTTCCAAGCAGCACCCAGCATGCAGGCTTTCAGAAGGTCAGGAGAACATTTACCTCTGTTCTGCTTACTGTAAGACTTAATCTAGCATTAAAGGACATTGTGTGCATCCCAAAAGGCACCCTATCCCCTATATAGTGCACTACTTTTGACCAGGAACCATAGGGCCTCTATCAGCAGACCATCAACAGAACCTCTATCGGCATACCATCAACAGAACCTCTATCAGCATACCATCAACAGAACCTCTATCAGCATACCATCAACAGACCCTCTATCAGCAGACCATCAACAGAACCTCTATCAGCATACCATCAACAGAACCTCTATCAGCATACCATCAACAGAACCTCTATCAGCATACCATCAACATAACCTCTATCAGCATACCACCAGAGACCAGGCAACCACGGTTTAACTGTTGGCAACCAGAGACCAGGCAACCACAGTTTCGTCAAAGCTGAACTTTATACCAGCCATGCCCTGCAGCAGAGACGGACCGTTATCAGACCGTTATCAGACCGTTATCAGACCGTTATACTTCACTCTGTAACGTATGGTTACAGAAGGTACTACTTCTAGTGATCAAAACAGAAATCTGTCCCTCCCATAGGATAGTAGGACAGGAAGGAGGAGAGAGAGAAAGTTCTAGAGCAGGGGAATTGAACCCATGTAGTACTGATGATCTACAGGCAGCGGGTTAGACTGTCTTGACAGAACATGCTTAGCCAGGATTTACTCCCAAACGATATTCAAAAAGGAAAATCCCCCTCCCTTAGTAGAGAGAGAGAGAGGGAGAGAAAGGAGGGAGAGAGGAGGGAGAGAAGAGAGAGAGAGGCGGGAGAGAGGAGGGAGGGGAGAGAGAGAGGTGGGAGAGAGAGAGAGGAGAGAGGGGAGAGCGGGGGGAGGAGGAGAGAGGAGGAGAGGAGAGGAGAGAGGAGAGAGGGAGCGAGGGAGAGAGGAGAGGAGGGAGAGAGGAGGGAGAGAGGAGAGAGAGAGGAGAGGGAGAGCGAGAGAGAGAGGGAGAGAGGAGAGAGGGAGGAGAGGAGGGAGAGAGAGAGGAGAGGGGGGAAAGGGAAGAGAGGAGAGAGGGGGGAGAGGGAGAGAGGAGAGAGAGATCTATTCCATTTTAAGTGGCTGACTCCATGATACTCCAGAGGGTTTTGTGGCTAAATGTGTAAAAAGTGTTGAAAGAAAAAGAGAGGAATAACATATGAGGGGAAACAGACGGTGAAGCACGCAAAAAGAAACATGCCCTTAGATGGATTTTCTGTGAGAAAATGTTTAACGCATGCATAATAACAGAACAGAACCTCTATCAGCAGACCATCAACAGAACCTCTATCAGCAGACCATCAACAGAACCTCTATCAGCAGACCATCAACAGAACCTCTATCAGCAGACCATCAACAGAACCTCTATCAGCAGACCATCAACAGAACCTCTATCAGCAGACCATCAACAGAACCTCTATCAGCAGACCATCAACAGAACCTCTTATTTAAAATGCTCTCTACCCACTCTTTAAGTACTTCTTCATTCATAACATGCACACACACACACACACACACACACACACACACACACACACACACACACACACACACACACACACGCACACAAACTCAGCGTCTTTATTCATAACATACACACACTCGTATACATCTCATAGCATACACACTCACAGTGTTTGACGTAGTGTTTTGTTAACCATTGGTAACGCTGGAGAGCAGCTTGCATCAGAGAGGCAGAAGAGATGTGTGTGTGTGGAGAGAGAGAGACTGGGAAATCTCAAGCCAGACACTGTGTGTAGAGACAACCTCCACGGACAAACAGTGCCTTCAGAAACGATTCATACCCCTTCACTTATTCCACATTTTTGTTCTTACAGCCTGAATTCAAAATGGATTAAATAGAGACAAAGTGACAATCCCATAATGACAAAGTGAAAACATGTTTTTAGAAATTTTAGCACATTTGTTGATAATGAAATACAGAAATATCTCATTTACATTGTATTCACACCCCTGAGTTGTGTGCCGAGCTTGTAGCTTCATACCCAAGAAGACTTGAGGATCGCTGCCAAAGGTGCTTCAACAAAGTACTGAATACTTATGTAAATGTCATATTTACGTTTTGTATTAATAAAACATTTTCAAAAATTTCTAAAAACGTATTTTTGCTTTGTCATTATGGGGTATTGTGTGTAGATTGATGATTATTTTTATTTATTTAATCAATTTTAGAATAAGGCTGTAACGTAACAAAATGTGGAAAAAGTCAAGTCGTCTGAATACTTTCCGAATGCACTGTAAGTAAATAAGATCAATGTCCCATGATGGCGCATACAGATCCAGTACAGAGAGTGATAATGTAGTCCAGTACAGGGTGGTAATGTACTGTAGTCCAGTACAGGGTGGTAATGTACTGTAGTTCAGTACAACATGGTGATAATGTAGTTCAGAGAAGGGGCAGATGCCTCATGCTGTTACAAAGAAAAGGGACCAGGGACAAGAGACACTCATTTAGAAGGAAGGGACTTGAATTAAAATAAAAAGGAAAAAGGGGGAAGAGGAGAGAGAGAGAGAGAGAGAGAAGAGAGAGAGAGAGAGAAAAAGAAAGAAGGAGAGAGAGAGAGAGAGGAAGAGCGCGAGAGGAGAGAGAGAGATAGAGATGAGAGAGAGAGGAGGAGAGAGAGAGAGAAAGAGAAGAGAGAGAGAGAGAGAGAGGAGCGAGAGAGAAATCGCACACGACCACGATGCCGCTAAGACGTAACGGGACTAGGCGCGCTGCCGCGATGATCTATCTCTCTCTCTCTGCTCTCTCTCTCTCTCTCTCTCTCTAGCTCTCTCCTCTCTCTCTCTCTCTATCTCTCTCTCTCTCTTCTCTCTCTCCCCTCTCTCCCCTCTATCTCTCTCTCCTCTGCTGCAGAGCCAACAGGTATGATTAGCCGGAGCAATATGGGGTACTGCTTCATCAGCAAGTCAATATGTAATGTTCCGCTCCATCCAGCTTGGCTAATGCTAATTTTACATTTGACAAGCATCGGACTTGAGTCACATACACACGCATGTAAACAAGTATGCACACACACACAAACAATACAATAAAAATCATAATTGTGTCCACACACAAATATTGTGTTCTGTCCAACCAACAGCACTAGCAGGTGTTATATAGGCTTCGGTCCCACTGCAGAATGTGTGTAGTGTGGCGTCACCTCCACCTAGCCATTCCCCAACTACACACACACACACACACACACACACACACACACACACACACACACTATTCACCTCCACCTAGCCATTCCCCAACTACACACACACACACACACACACACACACACACACACACACACACACACACACACACACACACACACACACACACACACTATTCCTACAGTCTCTTCATCGTGCTAACCCAAACAGACATGTGCTGGCTCAGATCTTTCCCCCCCACATTGTCTTTTCAAGTCACAGTTCCGGCGACTATGGTGGATGTGTAACCGGGCCAGTGCCCTACAGCTCTCCTCGGTTCAGTTTGGCTGACTAGTTTTTAAAATGGTACTGTTCTTCTCTGTCTACCGTAGACCTTCGTTGAGCCTGAAAGACTAATTATACCGTGTTTATACTGTGTCCTTCTGTTGTTGTGGTAGACATTTTAGCAGATCAAAGCAAATGGAAACGTTGAAGCAACAGAAACCCAGCTAAGGGGAACATGTGGTGTTAGCTGCAGTAGTTAACCCTTAGGGCCCCACAACAACAGAGTGTAAAGTTAATTTACGCTGGTTAACTCATGCTCCTGTGTGTCTGTGTGTGTGTGTGTGCATGCTTTTGTGTGTGTGTCTGTGTATATGTGAAGGGGGAATGTTTTTTTAAGACTACAGGGAATAGTTGTGTGTGTGTGTGTGTGTGTTAAATCTACCTCTGGTTGCCTGGTTAAATCTACCTCTGGTTGCCTGGTTAAATCTACCTCTGGTTGCCTGGTTAAATCTACCTCTGGTTGCCTGGTTAAATCTACCTCTGGATGCCTGGTTAAATCTACCTCTGGTTGCTGACTGGTTAAATCTACCTCTGGTTGCTGACTGGTTAAATCTACCTCTGGTTGCTGACTGGTTAAATCTACCTCTGGATGCCTGGTTAAATCTACCTCTGGTTGCCTGGTTAAATCTACTTCTGGTTGCTGACTGGTTAAATCTACCTCTGGTTGCCTGGTTAAATCTACCTCTATTTGCTGACTTGTTAAATCTACCTCTGGTTGCCTGGTTAAATCTACCTCTGGTTGCCTGGTTAAATCTACCTCTGGTTGCCTGGTTAAATCTACCTCTGGTTGCCTGGGTGAATCTCCCTCTGGTTGCCTGGTTAAATCTACCTCTGGTTGCCTGGTTAAATCTACCTCTGGTTGCCTGGTTAAATCTACCTCTGGTTGCCTGGGTGAATCTACCTCTGGTTGCCTGGGTTACTGTTCAGCTAGAGTGTGTATTAGAGAGAATACTAACTATCTGGTTGAGAGAACAGTGACTACCTCATGAAGCTGGTTGAGAGAATGCCAAGAGTGTGCAAAGCTGTCATCAAGGCAAAGGGTGGCTACTTATATATAAAATAAAATATAAAATATATTTTGATTTGTTTAACACTGTTTTGGTTACTACATGATTCCATATGTGTTATTTCATAGTGTTGATGTCTTCACTATTATTCTACAATGTAGAAAATAGTAAAAATAAAGAAAAACCCTGGAATGAGTAGGTGTGTCCAAACTTTTGGCTGGTACTGTGTATATATATATATATATATATGCCATTTAGCAGACGCTTTTATCCAAAGCAACTTAGTAATGCGTGCATAACTTTTTTAAACGTATGGGAATATTTGCTCTAAAATATGAACACTGCCTGGCGTAGGCCTACTGGCTTCCTTTAGCAGTACTGTAGCTCAGCTGGTAGAGCACGGCGCTTGGAACGCCAAGGTAGTGGGTTCGAACCCCGGGACCACCCATACACAAAAAAATGTATGCACGCATGACTGTAAGTCGCTTTGGATAAAAGCGTCTGCTAAATGGCATATTATTATTATTATTATTATTATTATTATTAATATTATTATTATTAATTCCACGTCCAGCCCTCTGTCTGACCACTAGCTGTGAGCTTGGCAGACCAGGAAGTAACTCACTGTGTCCCCGTAGCACTGACCAATGGGAGCAGGCACAGGGAAAGGCTCAAAGATATCGTAATGGAACATTAAACCATGTTTTAATGCACAGGTATGGCAAATAAATATCCACCTATTTAAACAATATACTCATGCACCTGCACTCAGCACAATCAGCACTGTCACAGAGGCCTAGATTCAATCAGATCAAGCGTTAACAGCCGACACCCGCATAGCGGTTGTTTTGACCGTGTCGGAGGTGGAACTGCATTGGAGCTGTCAAAGCGCTGAGCAGCTGCTCTTGTGATCATTGTTACGAATCCACACCCGGAAGCCACACCCGGAAGCCACACCCGGAAGCCACAACCGTTAGTTCAGAACGAGAAAGTGTAGGCTATATAGAAATAACGATGCTCAAATAGAAAATCATTTAACGGACTAATGAGGAGTTATATAATCATCCTAATCCAGGTGTAGATCACATCTCACATTCCAGTGTTGGAACGTGTAAACAAGGCTGCATGGGATTTCTCTTAATGCGACTCTGTGCAGCCAATAGCAATGTCCGCTTTAGGAATAACGGCGGGAGCCGCTTGTGGATTTGACAGCTCTAACCCAGTTCCACCTCCGACACGGTCAAAACAACCGCTATGCGGGTGTCGTCTAGCGCGGACCTGATAGAATCAAGCCCTTAGTCTAGCCTCCAGGCCCTGCAACAGAATCTAGCCCTTAGCCTAGCCTCCGGGCCCTGCAACAGAATCTAGCCCTTAGTCTAGCCTCCAGGCCCTGCAACAGAATCTAGCCCTTAGTCTAGCCTCCAGGCCCTGCAACAGAATCTAGCCCTTAGTCTAGCCTCCAGGCCCTGCAACAGAATCTAGCCCTTAGTCTAGCCTCCAGGCCCTGCAACAGAATCTAGCCCTTAGTCTAGCCTCCAGGCCCTGCAACAGAATCTAGCCCTTAGCCTAGCCTCCAGGCCCTGCAACAGAATCTAGCCCTTAGTCTAGCCTCCAGGCCCTGCAACAGAATCTAGCCCTTAGCCTAGCCTCCGGGCCCTGCAACAAATGCAATGAACGTAGGAATGTGATGTATATCTAAAAACATATTTACTGTATCCTCTATAGTGTAATGCACAGTATGTGGATGATTCTGATTCTGTTGCAAAACCACGTTCCCCCCAGGCTGGCACACACACACACACACACACACACACACACCACACACACACACACACACAAACACAAACACAAATACACACACAAACACAAACACAAATACACACACACACACACACACACACACATACACACACACACACACACACACACACACACACAAACACAAACACAAATACACACACAAACACAAACACAAATACACACACACACACACACACACACATACACACACACACACACACACACACACGCACACACACAGAGAAACACACACACACACACACAAACACACACGCACACACACAGAGAAACACACACACACACAAACACACACACACACACACACAAACACACACACACACAGAGAAACACACACACACACACACACACACACACACACAGAGAAACACACACACACACAAACCCACACACGCACACACACTCACACAAACACACACGCACACACACAGAGAAAGGGGGAATTGAGCTCAAATGAACACTCAATACATAACACTGTGCGTAATGCTCACACGTGGAATACCCACTCAGCACTCTAAACTATCTGCTTTGATTTAGTTGACTATTTAATGTAGCCTCAGCAACCATGTGGTGCAGTGCGTCCTGCATGTTGTTGTGTATTCAGTGGCCCTAGTCTGAATGTACTTGAATAAGAAAAATTTCTTCATGATTCTGCTGCAAGACCATCTCCTTTATCCCTTTGGGGTATCCAGGTTTTCTACTACTAATCAGTGCGGTTATCTGAGGAAGATAACATCGCATCAAGACATTGCCTCAGAGTAGATATTAAAATGTCATCCAAGCCTCTACCTAAGAAAATAAAAAAATGAAGCAAGCATCTCCTGTGGATGTATCTAACATTTCCTATGACTAAAGGACTGTAAGCCCATCCACTTAACAATGTTGACTTATTCATTTTTCATTTTCACTCAATGAAATGAAATTGTGTAAGTATTGGCAAGTTATGCAAAACATCAGCAATGTACAATGAGGTTTATGGTGAGGTTGTTGAGGTTTATGGTGAGGTTGTTGAGGTTTATGGTGAGGTTGTTGAGGTTTATGATGAGGTTGTTGAGGTTTATGGTGAGGTTGTTGAGGTTTATGATGAGGTTGTTGAGGTTTATGGTGAGGTTATTGAGGTTTATGGTGAAGTTGTTGAGGTTTATGGTGAAGTTGTTGAGGTTTATGGTGAAGTTGTTGAGGTTTATGGTGAAGTTGTTGAGGTTTATGGTGAGGTTGTTTCAGCCCGTTAGGGACAACACCATTAGACTTTACCTTTTATAAACAAGGTGATTTCAGCTGTGGCCAGATACTATCACCAACCAGGTGCTGAAATCACCTCTTCTTTCACCTTACAGAAAATCCTAAAATGTGTGCACAGTTTGAACATATCTCAATATGCTTTGCATAGAAATGAGAGCAAGCATATGATTGAGCTGTATGAATGCCTCAGTCTAAGAACAAAAGATGAAGGTAAGAATGTGAAATGATCAGTTGACATGACAACCACAATGTTGTTGACTGACTACAACTTTCATTGCGAAAGAAATGTTTGATTATAGATGTTTGATCCTAAAATGGCGGTCTTTAACTTGATCCGTTTTTTATTTTATTTATTTTTTAATCAATATCCTCAGTAGTCAGAGTATTGTTGTCTTGGCTGACGAGGGAAGGTGGAAGGTTGGTTGGGAGTCATTTTATCAGTCTTATTTCGATCCAGAGCCATGTATTTAATACATAATCTAGACATATGGCTCTGCTCCTTTAGGTCAACGGTACTGTATGACTTGTGTTTCATTTTTTTGTACTGAGTAGCCCTCTCTGCCAGGTCTCCCTTGTGAGATGTCTCCTGGCCTGGTTAAATACAAAACGAATGTGTTTACTGTCCAGCCTGTGGGCGGAGCAAGTTGTAGCAGGTGTGTCTACCCCGTCCTCAGCTTGACCTCAGTGATGATGTAACCAATGGCCAACGGAGAAGACATTTGTGACGCTTTTATTCATCAGCTTTAATGACGAGGAGGAAGGACAAAGGTTGTGTAAGGTTTTATTCTGAGCCAGAATGGTCCGGTTTAGCCCTGTGTTTCCCAAAAGGAGGGTTGGGGCCCACTGGTGGGACGCAGCTAATTTCTACTAGGTCACAGTTTACAACTGGATAGTAGAAGGAAACCACTACTTTTGTTTTAATTTAGCCAAGGTCACAGAGCAACTGTTTTTTTGTTGACCTATAGTCTACGGTTGGGTCTGTATCACTACTGGTAGGTAGGTAACTTATAGTCTACGGTTGGGTCTGTATCACTACTGGTAGGTAGGTAACTTATAGTCTACGGTTGGGTCTGTAAGAAAATATGGAGATGAGATGGAAGGAATAATAACAACAGGAGTTTATCCATCTTTTTAAACTGTAGATCCCCCTGTTCCTCTCCTCTCTATCCCAGATCCCCCTGTTCCTCTCCTCTCTGTCTCAGATCCCCCTGTTCCTCTCCTCTCTGTCCCAGATCCGCCTGTTCCTCTCCTCTCTGTCCCAGATCCGCCTGTTCCTCTCCTCTCTGTCCCAGATCCCCCTGTTCCTCTCCTCTCTGTCCCAGATCCCCCTGTTCCTCTCCTCTCTGTCCCAGATCCCCCTGTTCCTCGCCTCTCTGTCCCAGATCCCCCTGTTCCTCTCCTCTCTGTCCCAGATCCGCCTGTTCCTCTCCTCTCTGTCCCAGATCCGCCCTGTTCCTCTCCTCTCTGTCCCAGATCCCCCTGTTCCTCTCCTCTCTGTCCCAGATCCCCCTGTTCCTCTCCTCTCTATCCCAGATACCCCTGTTCCTCCTCTCTGTCCCAGATCCCCCTGTTCCTCTCCCTCTGTCCCAGATACCCCTGTTCTTCTCCTCTCTGTCCCAGATCCCCCTGTTCTTCTCCTCTCTGTCCCAGATCCCCCTGTTCCTCTCCTCTCTGTCCCAGATCCGCCTGTCCTCTCCTCTCTATCCCAGATCCCCCTGTACCTCTCCTCTCTGTCCCAGATCCCCTGTTCCTCTCCTCTCTGTCCCAGATCCGCCTGTTTCCTCTCCTCTCTGTCCCAGATCCGCCTGTTCCTCTCCTCTCTATCCCAGATCCCCCTGTTCCTCTCCTCTCTGTCCCAGATCCGCCTGTTCCTCTCCTCTCTGTCCCAGATCCCCCTGTCTTCTCCTCTCTGTCCCAGATCCCCCTGTTCCTCTCTTCTCTGTCCCAGATCCCCCTGTTCCTCTCCTCTCTGTCCCAGATCCCCCTGTTCCTCTCCTCTCTGTCCCAGATCCCCCTGTTCCTCTCCTCTCTGTCCCAGATCCCCCTGTTCCTCTCCTCTCTGTCCCAGATCCCCCTGTCCTCTCCTCTCTGTCCCAGATCCCCCTGTTCCTCTCCTCTCTGTCCCAGATCCCCCTGTTCCTCTCCTCTCTATCCCAGATCCCCCTGTTCCTCTCCTCTCTATCCCAGATCCCCCTGTTCCTCTCCTCTCTGTCCCAGATCCCCCTGTTCCTCTCCTCTCTGTCCCAGATCCCCCTGTTCCTCTCCTCTCTGTCCCAGATCCGCCTGTTCCTCTCCTCTCTGTCCCAGATCCGCCTGTTCCTCTCCTCTCTGTCCCAGATCCGCCTGTTCCTCTCCTCTCTATCCCAGATCCGCCTGTTCCTCTCCTCTCTGTCCCAGATCCCCCTGTTCCTCTCCTCTCTGTCCCAGATCCCCCTGTACCTCTCCTCTCTGTCCCAGATCCGCCTGTTCCTCTCCTCTCCTCTCTGTCCCAGATCCCCCTGATCTTCTCCTCTCTGTCCCAGATCCCCCTGTTCCTCTCCTCTCTGTCCCAGATCCCCCTGTTCCTCTCCTCTCTGTCCCAGATCCCCCTGTTCCTCTCCTCTCTGTCCCGGGGGAAGAATTAGGCTAATAAGG